CATAGCTTTCCAACTGATATTTACCAGCTGATTGGTTCACTGATCAATACATCGTTTTCAAAACCGTTTTTGCTTTTTTGCTTCTAAAACCTAAAAATAAATATAATTTTAAACATGTCGTGTATTTACACCAATAGCCACGTTAAAAGCGACTCCTATGTGTCATGCTGGCTCTGCGATGGGATTGCCCATATAAAATGTGCTGGTTTGAGCGGTAGAGTAGTAGACGCTATTAACGAGGGTAAGGGTCTTCGTTGGTCTTGTCAAAAATGTAAATCAACCGATGTTGATTTATTTAAATTCTTCAGGCAGTCCAGAAATGGTTTTTCTGAGATCGGGAAGGATCTGTCGGCGCTTGTTGAGAAATTTAAGCATTACGAAAAAATGTTTAGGTCTTTCACTTGTCTCGACAACCCTCCACACTCTGAGGATAGCCGAGAAAATAAAGGTGGGCATGTTATTAGTCCACCTAAAAAGACAGGTCTACTTCTAAAAATAGTCAAACCGTTGATTTAACAGTGTTGCCATCAACATCTCAAGCTCCACTGTCTAACTTAGTTCCTCCGAATAATTCGGAGCCCCGCACATCAGACATCATTACCAAAAAGTTGGTTGTAATTCCTCCGAGAAAACGAATCATTCCGTGGTTTATGTCAAGATTTTAACTGTCATTCCAGCACGTTTGACGTATCGGACTCGATTTTTACTATAAAGAAAACTATTATTTCCACTCTCAATAATTGAAATACTATCTTTAGCATATCCAATCAGCTGATGAAATTGATTCTGTAGCTGATTAGTTTTAGATCTCGACACTTAACAAACTCCTGTTTCCACTACCATAAAAAAGTGAATTCATTGTCTATTGTGTATATCAGTGGGATCCTCTTCATATATTTAATTGAATTAAAAAAAAACCCCCCATTTCAGCACTACCACACTACTTTTCCTACTACCTTATCACAAAAGGGGATAAAATGGTTACCCGCTCTCTCTTTCCTTCTCAAATGCAACCTTACAAGGCAGTCGATTGACACAAATATCAATATTTATCCAACCTTGTATTATTGAATCATGACTCTCATCGTTCCAGCCAAGTGTGAGTAAGCATAACCCAGTTTCTGAAAGCGTAATATTATGTTCGCGTTGAGCCATTCACTCAAGTTTAAGGGCCATTTTGGAGTTTAACGCTAAACTCTGCTCTTAAACTCGGAGTTTACCATATAAACAATTTTCGTTAAAATCTCCTTAAACATCACTTTTATTTGGAGTTTATGGGAATGCAACGCTTTTTCTGACTGAATTTTGTTTGTGTCTTTGATAATCCAAACCTGCAACCAAAATGCCGACAGTTAGCTTGTCCCCGTACTGCAGGATTTAATCAGAAATAGTCCGAGGTCGTTCCGTGCACATAAGTCTAGAATATCAACAATCTAACTATGCAAAAATGAAAAATGTGGCTCAATACAACTTTTTGTACTAATTGCAACCCTACCAAAATTATCTGGCGGAAGAAAAACATAAAGAATATATCAATGGTTAAAGTTAAATTTTGATTTTTTGTTAATATTAATATCTTCAGAACAAACATAACCTATTAACCCTTCGGAGGGCGCGCCACGGCAAATTAGCCGCAAAAAATTTAATTAGTGGTTTTTAAATACTAATTGTATTTGCCGGCTACTGCCACTTAGTGGCTTTGTAGGTTTTGAGATGCAGAATGGTTCACAATTAGCTGTTGCTTGCTGCGTTATATCGTTCTGTTAATATTTGTGTATTTGAAAGTTGGTGTCTCCTATATGTGGCTGAATTGCCGCGTCGCGCCCTTCCGTGTACCAAACAAATTTGAATGTAACTCGCAAAATTTTTTTTTTAAATAGTTGGAAAAGTGAGTTTGTGATAAGGGTCTAAATCAAAATTGTTATTTGGAAAGTATTTTGTTATGTGTAATTTTAAAATTATACTTTGCGTACACATTATTGTAACTATCAGGGGCGCACCCAGGAATATATTTTAGGGGGGTTTTATATTTCTGAAAATATATCACCGGAAAATACTGAAAATTTGCTTCAGGTAATACCCTCTTTAAAATACATTTATGCAAGCTTTATGTACAGTACGTAATAAATAAATAAACGTTTTAAATTCATAAACTGCACTTTATTTACAGATTAACAGAACTCAAACGCTTTTAACCGACTTCAAAAAAAAGGGAGGTTATCATCTCGCCGGAATACATAACTTTGGACCACGTGAACCGTTTTCAATAATCCTTTCTTTATTAGAAAGATAATACCTCAAGGTTCGTCCCGTAATTTGTTTTAGAGATCCGATGATTGGATCATGAAGAAATTAACGGTACCCCTAAATTTGAATATGAGAATTGAAGTCGGTTGTGTTCTTTCCTTAAAAACTACT